TTGACAAGATGAGGGGATTTTATATGAATGAATCGGTTTTTTACCGATGCAAAGACGCTACGCAATCGATGCATCGCGAGTTCAACCCAAACTGTAGCCGATGTGCACTCTTTCAACCGGTGCACGCATCTTGAACGTTTATGCCGGTGCACCGATGCGAATCGGTGAATCTTAACATCTCTAATTCATTCCCATCCAACTTATTTATACATGAGGACGTGTTACAACAGCATATGCAGAAGGATCATACTTTACACTTCAAAGCTCATTGTTTCTCGGGAGCCATGGAGGATAAAAAAATTAGGCAAGGGTCATGCTTTCATAATAGATGCTGGCATGTAGAGGAACAACACCATATTGCCAGAAGAAGCAAACACAAGTAAAAACAGAAAGCACACACAGTGATAAAGTGAGTTTTGTATTAATAATGCTGGCCTTCATTGTGTTTCTATTCATGGAGATTTCTATATTCCTCTTGGCAGAACGTGTCTTCCTGTTGGAAAAATATATAATATATATGTGTATTAGAATATAATTTAGAGGAATTATCGTCTCATCTGCAGACCTTCCTTGTGTCCTTGAAGTCTCCTTTAAGGACAGAACTCCTACAGGCTTGAACAGCACTGACCCTCCTCTCTGACCCCTCATGTAATATGTATACATGTATGTGCCAGTCTTAAAGCTAAGAAAAACTATCTTGACAAAGCTGTGAGATGATTATGGATCTTCATATTCCTAAAGGACAATTGGAGTAAAAAAACGAGCGACTTGATACTGTATCTTGTCCCCTCTGGCACATACTGTACTTAGAGAAAGCCTGAGAAGGGATGATTTTGATCAGCCGTGAGGAAAGACTCCACACAGCCTCTGATGGCTGAGCAAAATCCTCCAGCAAAGGCGAATGATTATTAAAATCCTCACTGGGACCCAGATAAGAGATGAGATAGCTATAGTGCATATGACAGACATATAAAGGTGATATGCGAGATTTTTCCTCACTGAGATAATCGTGTGAACAGATGAGCCCAGCTCGGACGCATCTCTGAGGCTCACCAGCGAAACAGAGCTGACAAATAAGGCGACTGGGAGATGAGGGGAGCGATTATGAGTACAGCAGAGAGAAAGGCCTTGGTGTGGTGAAATCTCTTAATGTCCTTGGAGGAAGAGGGCCAGTCACGCTTGGGGACTGCATGCAAGTGTGTGTGTGTGTGTGTGTGTGCGCGACTCAAAGCCTAGCAGACTGTCACCTCTGCCTTATCGTTCTGCCACTCATCCTCGTATCATGTGTGTGTTGTGTGTGCATGCATGTTTTAGCCTTTATATACATGTGTGTGTGTGTGTGAGAATATTTATTCATGTGTGACAGACTCCACTATTCCACTTAAAAGGTGTTTAAAAAAGATGAGGCGTGAGCGTCCTTTGAACTAAACAGGGATGATAGCTCTTGTTAGCATTGTAGTTGTTTGCCTTCCAGTTTAATTTAGGAGAAGAGACCTTCACTGTACTGTAGGCTTGACAGGCTGAATTCCTTAGGGTGTAATGCTTGGAAGAAGAAGGTGACGCTGACGGGAAAACACTTTGACAAGGTTCTTTAGGTGTGAACCGAACAAAGGTGGGGTTGGTTTCAGTTTCATACCCGATGACTTTGTGGTGAATTAAAGTTTCGCTCTAATGACTTCTGAGACTCAAATCCCGCCAAGGTTGTCACAAAGGATTCCAGTGGTCCTTGTGTGGAAGTTTGTTAAAAAATGAGAAGACATAGAGGTGAACGAGGGCAAAAGAGGGAGACGATTCTTAAGCTGGAGTAATACCTTTCATATGTGGGGAAAAAAGACATTTCTGGATCAAGGTTTTTCTCTCTTCTTCAAAGTCAGATCACATTTTTCTTCATTTGCCACGGTTCAGAGGTGATTTAATAACCCTAAATTACAATGCTAATTTGAATCAAAGTGACAGTGAATGGAGTGTGTCCAAAAACCAGATTACCTGTGTGGCATATCAATGACAGTTTGAAGTAAAGCGCCATTCTTGTGACATTTATGGCCACAAGCCCTCAGGTCCCTTACTTGATTTGAAAGCTTACTTTATAAAGACGCATTGATTACTTGAATGTAAGCGCACTGACCCAGACACATCCAGAAATGTGATTACAAGTAAAAATAAGACCAAACAATACTGTAGTAGATTTTTCTTTGGTGATGTTATCAGTTGATAATACTTGGTCCCACAGTTTTGAAATTCACTTTTTAGTCTTCTCAGATCTCTTTATAGCTTTCTCCCTCCTCACTGGTTTGAGGTGGATTAATAAAAGGATATGTAGTGCCGCTGCTATGCCATCTTTCTGCAGATTTTGCAGAATGTAAAATCTCGCCTTCCATTAAGTGTGCAAATGGTTTCTTTGACAGCCAGTGTCAAAAACATGCCCGTGGTCTATTAATAAGCTATTGGAGAAGCACACCTCAGCGAAGCTTTAACATTAATGGTCATCTCTTTCATGGAAGTCCTCATTAAGGTTGTAGCCATTAAAACTGCATGTTTCAACTATACACTATCAAACAAATGATAAATATCTGATGGAAATGAAACGGCAACACATCCATGCATCACATTTGCATAGAGAGCTACAAGCAAATGAGTAATATGATAAAAGAGCCTCAGGCGAAACTAGAAATCATTTGTTGTTGCCTGCAGCCATAGAAATGGATACTGGGGAAGAGAAATAACTTCATACTCAGAGAAAACCGCTAGTGTTAGGAAACCATGGGGAGAATGAATGCTCATTTTTATTTTATCATGTTCTGTAAAGTAGCAAAGGATTAGTGTAAGTAAAACAAATATTGTCAATATATAGTTCTCAACATTGTGCTTGGCCAACATTCTCACAGCATGAGAAAAAAAGAAACACAATCTTCCAATAAGATTACCTTATTCTTCCTCTTCACTTGTGTCCTAGCCTAAATGCTTTCTCTTCTGCACATCGGGTATTGTGATGTAAATAAGATGCATATTTGGCTCATCCCGCTATGCTGAAGTGGAAAGGTAAATATTTGCATTATGCTTGCAGGCTAGAGTGCGCGCCACATTGCATTATTCCATTAACCCACGTCTCCATGCTCCAACGCTGCTGTATCTGCGCTAATCTGCATATAGCTTTATGCAGCTTGGACTACTTACTAGACCCCCCAGAAAAACGCGGGCTAAAATCCTTGATTATGCGGGNTCCACACCAATCAGAAGTGCTGTGCTCCACATGTACCAGTCATTCTTAACCAATCAGAAGTGGACTGATTGGATAAATCTGTCTATCACCTTCTATCATGGTCCACTTCTGATTGGTTAAGAATGACTGGTACATGTGGAGCACAGCACTTCTGATTGGTGTGGATGACTGACACACAAGAAGAAAAAGAAAAAAAATCGCAGGCTTTGCGATTTGACAATTGCATCATTTCAAATCGTTTGAAAATATAGGCACATACTGAAGACAATGTCTGTGATTTAAAATCGATTAATTGTTCAGCCCTACTCTACATCTCAGATCAGCATTCATGACACAAGCTGGGATAATTCTCTCATATTCCATTTACAGAACACAATGTGGCTATTGCTCCTGATCGAGAGCTTCTCTGTCCACGTCCTGACAGGCCAAGCTGAAAACCCCACTCTTCTCACTGAAATAACCAAGCACAAAAGAACAGTTTGACAAAGGAGAGAAAGAAAAGGGGGAAAATGCGATCGATACAAAATGTCTCTGTAAAATGCCTCAAAGAACAAGGTTTTGTCTGAGAGCATTGGCAGGCCAGAGGCCAGGTCACAGTGTTCTGCTCGGCCTTCCCTTTATTCCTGTTAAGCTTGAGAGTCCACTTAAACCTTACGAAGCTTTCAAAAGGAAATGGAATACAACTTAAAGTGACAATTCAACACTTGCTAAACCAATAACAGCGTTTCCTTTTTTATAAAAAAATCTGAACCCATTTTTTTATAAGGTTCTGCTTAATGGAATCTTGAGGGAAAATAAGCAAGACGTATATTATTGAGGAGACACTTAAAGTTAAACCTATAAAAGTATAGAATACATTTAATGTGTTAAGGTTATACAGGTCTTTGGTACGCTAGGAGAGGATTAAGTGAAATGGCGTTAACAACAAAAACAAAAAATTGCATCGGTCAAATGAATCTTGTGCTCCAATTTCTTTGAGACAGAGAGACAGTTCTTCATAGCAAATTCAAATATATTGCCAGTGAAGAAAATGTTAACTAATATCGTCTAATATTTCTGTTTGATGCAGAAAATATGTACTTGTGAATGTGGGCTCAAAGCCTTATGGAGTAATATATATATACTCCGAACGAGTTGTGTCTCATATAAAGAAATAAACACGGTTCAAAACCATTTAGATGCAACATCTTTTATAAAAAGATTAGATTGCAGGTAATGAGTATTTGTATAAAAACTATCACTTTGTGTTGGCATCACAACATTTAAATGCTAATGGCGAAAAATAACAACAAAACGCCTCACACTTCTTTTCAGGCTGTTTCATTTCAAAATCTCTCATTTGAAACTGCTTCCATTTACATGAAGGAATTGTGTTGGCAAGTGATGGCCTTTCCAAATGACAGCCCGTTAGCAATATGAGGGCTGAACATTGAAATCCAAAACATAAAAATGACCTTACTTACACAGTTTGGAACATTCCCCTCAACATCTACCCAAATAAGATATAGTATGTGTGTGGTGTGTGTATGTGTGTATTTAAAGGGGGAGAATGAAGACAGATACACAGAGGGAACAACATCCAGAAGCCAAATAAATAATGGGCTACTTACCGGAACTTTGCTTCCAGTTATCTGCATGCAGCGATCAGCGGAGAAGGTTAATGTGCAAAAAGACACAAACAGCACAATCATTAGTAGGCCAAAGGATCTTTTCTAATACAAGTTGAGGCATTAGCGTAGCTTGTGTGAGATCACAAATACACAATACAACACAAATATTTACGCCAACAAGAAAACATTTGAAAATATAGGCACATACTGAAGATAATGTCTGTGTTTGGCAGCTGCAATTTTCAAATCTCCAAATCAATAATAAGATAAGGTAAATGAAAATGTGGACAAAGGAAAACAAATTTGCAAAGCGTGTACCTCACAAAAAGTATTATGTTATTAGCAGGCCCCATGTAACTGACTGGCTGGTGTATATTCACACATGTATTCCCTTTAAGAAAAAATGGCGAGATTAAGAGGCTGCAGAGGGACTACTTGTGCCGATAACAATCAGCTGCCATTAACGTTGGGTTTCAGGTGTCAACATTGTGCTGCAGAGCTACCGTGAACCTATGCAGTCAGCACGGTTCTCGGAGTTTAACCTTGTTATCTGTCAATAGTGGCAGGGAGCAGGATTGTTTTTTATTACTGCAACTGCGGTCCTTGCTTCACAGTAGGAGGGTGTCTGTCGGCAGAGTAAATGTGTTCTATACTGTAACTGAGCGCTTCTTTCTCTGCTACATTTTCCTGACAAAATGTGTTTTGATTGCAGGAAGTTACAAGACATATATGAGCTCCTTGTTTTCTAGCCCTTTCTTTATATGGCGTTTCCATCCTCCTCCCAACCGCGCCTCCTCCAAACTCTTATCTTCCTTCCCATTTCTTTTATTGTCACTCTCCAACTTTTCAACTCTGTGGCCATTTGATTCTTGATTACCCCTCTCCACCCCTCTACCAAGAGTTTATGACAGCCATAAAGTCTGTTTTACATGTGCCATCTCGCACACACTACTTTCTAACCATTCTGTGAATCCACATTTCATTTGCTTTCTAGTGAAGGCAGAATGTTACTGTCTACCACTTGGGACTATTTTATCGTAATACTGCAGGCTAGACACCTCGATACGAGTCACACTTACGTGACTCCACTTTCACAGATGTTGAGGACATTGGATACATATTTTTGAATCTTGTTTGAGAGCAGCTTCACCAAAATATCAGACACCATCTTGAGCGTGCACAGACAAGAATCAGGGAGGAGCTCGAGGGGGAAAAGCACAGTTTCTTTCACAACTTTCTATTTTCAATACAATGTAACACCTTGTCGTAAAAGAAAAAGGGTGAACTATTTTGAATTTCAAAAGTAATCATTGAGTAAGGTAAAACGACCCAGTAAGATTTGATTTTAGGCGTCTTTTACACTACAGGGGAAAAAAAGTCACTGTACATAAGTGTGTACATTTTTTTCTCAAATGATATACTTATTGCAAAAACATCATTTTGATTAGAATTGCATGAATAACACTGGACAATCCCCCTCACAAGACCCTGCCATCGCAAGCTTCCTACATCACAGACACAGCATGTTTGACTTGAAATAAATTATTCAGTGACAGTGGATGAAGCCAATTTTTTGAGAAATAAGCAATTGTATTTGTGTGATGATGAATTGTGGCAGATTTTATGATTTTGGCAGACATGTACAGCGAGAAGAAAGAACAAGAAATGGAGTGAGAGAGAAAGGAAACTTTTCATGCAAAACCAATGGTCAAGGACGTCCACAACACTCTTCAACAAAAGAGCTGGATTCCATTGAAACAGTTCAGATTAACTGAGCTACCGAAGTGCAGCTCTCCCTTGAAAATAGAGAAAGAAAAGATTTGACTTTCCTTTGAGAGAGATAGGGAAAAGTAAACAGTATTTTTTTCCAAATACTAATAACTTTCAAGACAGATCGTGTTATAGACATAGCCTTTGTGGTCATTCAACAGGTATGAATAATGAAATGAAAGAAAGTTGTATAATCTAAAGGAAACCTCAATCAACTAACGCTATTCATCAAGCTTACAGTTTTCCCTTCCTGTTACAGAAAGGAATAAGGTTGCTTTTTGTTGGGCACCAAAGCCTTTGCTCATTTGAGTAGGTCTGCAGGGACAAACATGAAAAAGGCCACACAGTGTTTGGAAATACTTCATGTTCCAAAAAATGCTTTCCGTTTTAAACCTTTCAAGCATTTTTAAAGTCTCATAATAAGGCAGCATAGAGAAGATTGAACTCAGTGATTTTTTGAGTTTGTAAGGAAACTACTTAAATAAATCCCTATCTTTCAAAATGTTCTATTGGGACTAGGGCTGCTCAATTAATCGTATTTGAATCGCAATTACGATTATGGCTTGCAACAACTACGAAAATAATGTAATCGAAATAAAACGATAATTTTTTTATTATTATTATTTTTTTTTTTTTTTTTTAATTGGTTTTTCAGTTGAATCATACTTAACTTTCAGGGTAATCAACTGTTAAAAACACACTGTTCACATTTATTTTCTCCAATAAATGGATGTTTTCAAATTAAATGAATAATCGTTTTTAATAATCGTGATATCAATTATTGACCCAAATAATCGAGATTATGATTTTTGCCATAATCGAGCAGCCCTAATTGGGACCTCAAAACACCATCAAGCAGAAACAAAACAGGAAATTGAGATGAGAGTGTGTTAAACCCTTCCAAAGACCCTAAAACTGCAAGTCACAATGCAGGATACCATTTCAGAAAAAAGACTGCAATGCATTACCAGTGAAGGCACCATGACAAAACAAGACACCCCAACACGTCCAAAATCCACCACGCCCAAATCCATCACTATTTAGTTTTTCAATGCAACATTAGCCCCATATAATGCCTTACCCTGAAAGAGAAATACATTTGAGTTATGGGATGCTTTAGTACATACAGGCTCATGAAGTATGGAGGAAAGACAAAAACAGAGCAGTTGCTTAAGGGAGGCCAAGCTTACGTGCCATTCAAATACTTAAAAAAAGGTTTGTATTTTTTTAAAGAAATGTCATACTTCTGATATATTTGCTGAAAAACTAAGCTTTAATGTACTGTGTGATTCTGGGTTATACATGGACGTTGTATTTATGAGGATACACTTTACATTAAGAAGTTATAAAAACCCTAACCACACTATTCAAGATGCTACAGAGCCGGATCATTATAAGGACCAGTTTTACAAGTTGCCTGCTTTTCTTCATTGTTCAGATTTGTAATAACATGTTTTCAATCTTTCCGAAGTGAACAAAACGTAACTACATTCTAAAGAAATGAGGCTTCTTGTTAGTGTCTTTACTGAATAAAAAACCTTATTGTTTGTAGGATTACCTGATGTACTTATTTGAAACTGGACTAAATCGCGTCCTCCTGTGTGCCCTATAGTTTATCAAAAGTTGTGCTTATAGTGTCTCTCTCTGCAAATGTATGCTGTAGCAGTGTCACTATATTATCAGAAAACATTCACAACAGTGCCCTAAACTTACCCAGCTAAATTGTTCTTTGGGTCACTTGAGTATTATCAGTGTTTGACAGTCGATCTATTTAAAGGTGTTCTAGTGTGACTGTAAGCACTGAATGAAAGAACATATACATCATCCCTGACACTCAGCCATCCCCCTTCCGTCACTTCTATTAAATGTGATAGCAGGGTGCAGAGAGACATTACACTGTGTCCTCTGTCCTTTGACTACATAGATTACGTTATTCATTTGAATAGAATATCAGTGCTCACAAAGCATAATGGGCCCTGTGAGGAATTCAATCATCTTGGATAATCATCATTATCAATAATGCCAGTTAATTACCATAACAATGAGGAAGGTAATAAATGGTGATGTCAAGAGAGAGCTAGGTTCGGGAAGCAATGGGGGCAGAAATCTCTTTTTCTCTGGGCTGAACCCCTCAAAGTGGGCCACAACTTCAGAAGGCTAAAGGATAATGCCTCAGACATTCATTGATTACGGTCAAACTTCTGTAATTTCACGTTTTTGGGTAAGAGTGTGGATCCAGATTTAAGATTAAATGCAATCATTTGGTCCATATTGGCCAGCCCATTACACAGAAGAGTTCTCCATTTTAAACGCATATCACAAAGTTTGGAATATTCAAATAATCGTGCAGACCTAGTGTCCATCATTTTATTTATTTTTCTTGCGGAAAAGCATTTTCAGGGCGCTTCACCCACAGTGACGCTCAGACATTTTGGCCAGGTCAGCATTGTAAATGACATTTTGTCTCAATGTTTTCATCTGGCTAAATAAAGGTTAAATATAAATAATAAAACATTTGTTTTGCTGTGCAGTGTATTGTGCAGCTGGCCGTAATGTGGCCTATGTAGTATATTTGTATTCATCGTTGTGTTGATCAAAGCCTAAGATGCATGCTTTTCCTCACTTCTGTATTTGGTGGTTGTGCTTTTTATTGTAGAATTGCTGTTGACTGAACCCATGGTTTGTAGTGGATAAACAAGAAATGAGGCAAGGCACCACCACCAAATTCCCATGCAAGTAAACAACTGGACATCCAACAATTTGCATGCAAGCACATGACTGAAAAAGCTGTGACCATACACTCAGCATTGAGTAAGTGAGTGACTACAATTTAAATCTGATAGCCTACAACGGCAGATGGGGAAAATAATGAAAGAAATGAATCAAAATGGCAATCAAAGATGTGTGACTCAAGCATGAAGATTTGTGAGAGAGACAACAACAGAAGTGAGTGCGCAAGAAGGAATGACAAAGACAGACATAGAGCAGGGGATCAGGTTAACTCATTCAGGAGATTTGTGATCATGTCCCTAAACTTCAGCTAATCCACAACAATGTCACAGTTCACACACAGACTATGAAAACAGAGCTGTTGGGTTCACTTTCACACTCACAGATTTGGCAGTGGCGGAGATGTACTGGACCACCATTTCTCGTCTGGTGCTCAATTCCTTTCCACGCAGAGGGGCTTTGCGTTCTTCATTCAGGTTCATGTCCTCCTAAATGCACAGGAGACAGCAAAAACAATTGAATGTAATGGTAGAAATGGAACAAAACACATTTATGTAGAACATTTATGAATTTTCAAAATAAAATGGAAAGCGAGCTTAAACGCTTGTATGAGTTTAACAAAATAGACAATAGCCGACTGTATGCCTCAACCTAATAGAAAACAGCAACGTACTGCTTCTCAGCTCTTTGAACATTACATGTCACTTGTTAGACGCTTTTATCCAAAGTGACTTACACACTCAATACTGTGGACAATCCCCACAGGAGCAATTTGGGGTGAAGTGTCTTGCCCAGGGACACAACAACATGCTGACTGCAGTGGGGTTTGAACCTGTGACCCCCTGATCCAAACAACAACGCTCTATCCGCTGCGCCAGACGCCTCCCAACCACATTGTTTACAGTACAATGGCTTCACTAGCAAAGCAAATATTTTTTTTCCACAATCATACTTTTATTTTCACTATAGTCCGTATACATCATATCCCGTTCTTCTACAGGTGAATGCATTGCTTTTCCATCTAGGTTTCAAAGTGACGAGGTACAGCAACAGGAAATATTGTCACTAAGAATTAGTCCTTGAAACGACAGTAGCAAGGCTAAAGCAATAAACGGTACACCCCAACTCTGCACAAGAAAGCAACATCAAACAACTCAGCTTCTATTGAGGCCATGCAATCACATCAGATAGGCAGGATAGGCAGGACAGGCAGGATCTGCGTGTTATTGGGAGTATTATCTTTGTGCTACTTTAATTCTGCATCACAAAAGAGGTCTTTCATGTGAAAAACATCAGGGGATGGAGCGAAGGCCGGACAGAGCACTAAAAGCCAGGGAATGACATGATGATTAGAATGGAGGGGGATGTTTATCAGAAGCACTCTCACAAAGAGACAGCTAGAATGAAAAGAACAAATTCTCCTCAGGGTTGTCGGATAGTGAGCCAAATGTGCTGGAGCTATGCTGCCCTCTGCTGGGGAGAACAGGAAGTCATATTTCCTTTCTTTGGTTGATCCGATTTGGCAGATATTCCTCTCCATCTTATCTAATGTTAAATGCACCCTATAATTATTAAATATGCCACTTCTACATAGGTACATTTTAACACAATGGTTTGAATATCTTACCAAAAGTAATCTCAACTGTTTTTCTTCATTTATCAGTGAAGCATGGACAGGAATCCCGTCCAGGGGCACTGTGACCTAAATTCCTTCTACTACATTTCCTCCAGTAAATACCCTCGGAGCAAGAAAAACCATTAACATCGTTTTTGTTGAACAGGGAGGGGGAAAAAAAGGAGCTGAAAGTTGCCAGTTTTTTTCACCGAAAGGAAACCAGCAGGTTTTTTAATTAATCTTTGAACCCTGCTAATTTATCTGCTTAATTGGCATTCAATAAACGAGGCATTATGTGGCGGGGTGAGTATGTCGTAGGAGGGGGGGGACTAGTGGGCCTGCGGGACGCTTGTCAGGGGGCAAACTCGAGGAATGAGCCCTCCACGTTAAGTCTCCAAAATGATTAATGCTCTTTTATTAATTATACCCTCACAGGCTACATGAAAAGAGTCCCAGGATATCTTCGACTATTCTTCCAGCGTAACTGAAATGATAGGATTTGAGCATGGATGACAGTTGAGTTACTGTACCAAGAAATGTTTTGGATCTTGTTGTCTCATGTTGGTTTGGGAAGCTAATCAGTCTGCTTGTCTTGCTTATGCCAAAATAATCTAATTCAGAAACCAGCCGGCTCTTTTTTTATATTCATTTTTAAACCTCATAAAATAGTCGAGATTAACAAATTGCTGTTCCTTAAGCAAGCTCATTTTACAACCAATAGCCTCCACCTTAAAACAATATGAAAATGATAATGGTAACGTGCCTGTGTCTCTGTATTAGACACGCCCCTGTCCGTGCTCTATATTAAAATAGAAATAAATAACAAAAACAATCAAATATATTGGACAGACAGAGGGTATACTCATAAAAAGGGCTATTCCAGTAAAAAATACATTTGTGTTCTCAATTAATGAATGAATTAATGATCTTAATTTACATTACACACATTTGATTCAAAATGAAAAAAGTATACATTTAAGTATTTTGAAGTATTTAAGTATACATCCCACTGTGTTTTGGGACAATGCAGACACACATTCATCCTTAATACAGCGAAAGCCAAGACAGCAAACTCCGATCTAATTGAGCAGGTGTTCCAATCACTAAAGACCAGCCCCAAAACAAGCAATTATTAAAAGACGGCTGCATGACAGGCCTGGTAGCGCATCACTACAATAAAGCAAGCTGAAGTCCCACATGATAAGGATTGGCAACAAATATTTTAAAAAGTGGATTTCATTTAAACATGTTGTTCCCCCTACATTTGGGAGACACTGTATAGAAGTTCTAAAATATTTCCCCATGGTCTTTAAAAAAAGACATCATATGGATTGTTTTGTTTTAACTCTGATATGCTTGAGCCAAAACAACTAAATATACAGTGTGCCAATGTCTTCCTACCTAGGGACTACCCTGCAGGAACAAAATGGAGATGGGTAAAAGTCCTAACATCCTGTGTTGCGATGTGGCTGCAAACACAGATCGCCACAGGCTTTGAATCACAGAAAAGTGCAATTAATGCCTAGCATCAAATACGTCTCCTCCTGAAGTAGAGATGAAAAGTCCACGCTATGGGGAAAAGTGGATCCGAACAAAGTAGAAGAGGTTAACAAAAATGCTTGCTTCAACTGTGACCAATCGATTATTTTCCCCACTACCCTCAAGTCTGATTCATGTGCGTGAACAAAGTAACTCTCCTGTGGGCTTGTTTTAATATCATGGTGCAGAGTGTAACTGCTGAGGGATCACATTGGAGCTTATTATTGGAGTGTTCATCCTGACAATGTCGCATAGAGAGAAACATAAAACCTCAAACTAACCACGACAGCTCTGCAATGTGACGTTCTTTTCCCACTGGTCCGATGTCTATGCGAGCATCTCGATAACACACACCACTCTTCGCAATGAGAGGAAGCTCACTATCGATGGAATCAATTCTTAGGAAGGATGTGATTCTGTTTGGGGATGTAATGCTGACAGACATCTAAAAGCATCATTTGGGCATTAATGCACTGCCTGCTAACGGCTACATCAGCACAGATGTCTTATAGTGCCAATATTCAACGACACACTCTCTCAACATTAGGGATGGAGATGATACATGGTGGATTTGGAGGAGAGGGGGTTTAAGGGTTAAGAGGAGGATTTATTATGAGTGGTGTGTCAAATGTTCTAAAACATTTATGAATAAGCATGTTAATTCATACATTTAATTTTTTTTGTAACAACTGAAATTCAAATAAATGTTGCTGCATAGAGCGTAAAGTAAAAAAAAAAAGGTTCTACGGTTTACTAAATGCTGATTAAATTAGATCACATGTTAGTGTGTGTGCTACTGTGTTCATAGGTTGCACCTCTTGGATTGGAGTCTGCTACCGCAACACAGCTGCCTCTTTAGTGAGATGCAAATACCGGACATTTAATCAGGGGATTTGCTGCTGTGCATTTTGATGAGGGGGCTCTGAATTCCATCCGTGCACATCTTGGGAAATCCAACGACAGGACACACCGAGTAAAAGACACACACTATACCCTTCTAAAGGCAGTGCTGACAGCCATTTCTTTCATGCATGTTCACTGTTATAGTTTTGTGAATATACGTGCGCTCTTAAAAATATCTACAAAGTGTTGTGATTTGGTTATCTTTGATTTTGTTTCTTTCTATATTTTCCCAGATTCCTTTGATGACCTTTCACTAATAGGATATGTGCCATTTTGGCTTTGAGACACAAAGCGCAATGTGAAAACCCCTTTCCAGAGAAAAAGACTTTGACTTTCTCCTACTCGTTAATGCACAGTAGGTGGTCTCACTAATGTGGCTTGGGTCAGCCCTTCATTTGAAGCACGCTAGACATCTAAGGCTTGGCCATGTAGCATCATAAAAACAACAATCAATAACAGAATGGGTGTAAAGACGAATAGATCTAAAGTGTGTTTGTGTGTGAGTGTGCGGAGTGTATAACATAAAAAGAGGTAGCGATGATAAAAAAAGAAAGGAAGATAAGCTGCTAGTGTCAACAGAAACTACCAACCAGTGTAATGTCTGTGTTTGCTGTAAAAAAGCAGAAAAGTTTTTCTTTCTATAACGGCCCGTCCACACTACAGCTTCAAAAAAAGCTTGGAGCTGGGCGTGTCTGAAGCTTAGGGATTTTATTCGAGCACCGCGACCAACAACCAATCACATGAATGTCCCGCCCCTAGCATACAAAGCAATGTTAAACGAAGTATACTGGATATAAAATCCCCAAACAGGCGAAAACCTACCAGTTTCACCCACTGTCTCTGCCACCTCCCTCCATGCCTGGTTCCTCCGGTTTGTATCCCAGTAAATACTTCTGGTCGTAAAGAACCGGGTGATTTGCTACCGTAATTTCTCGTTTGGAATATGAGGAAATGAACTGAGGTCTGGCTCTCCCAGCTTGCACGCGGTTTGATTGGCTAGCGCTTGAACTGTCAGATTTGCATAAACGGGATTTGATTGGCTGACGCTGGCTACTCCGGCGTCTCCGGCTTCAGAAGTTGAACATTGTTCAACTTTTGCAGCCTGAAACGCCAGGAAAGCTCCGCTCTGCTACCCACAATTCAGTTCGGCGAAAAGCGAGGCAACGTGACGTCACCCTATTCAAAGTGAATGGGCAGACGCGTTGGAAACCGTTTTTGAAGCTGTAGTGTGGACGGGCCGTTACACAATACGAAGTACAGTTATCAAAATACGCCTTAGTAGTAATGGTACAATGTTGAAGATTAAGACGCATGACACATCTTTTTCAGCTATTATTGTGTGTAATTAATAAAAAGTGGCCCTGTGATATCCTATGACATAAACAGCATTTCGTTAACTCTCTTAAGTTCACATTTAAGACGCTTTTATTTGCAGAGTGAGTAATGTCTGGATTTTTCAGCAAACAATCACAAACCTTTATTAAGGCATGACATTGTTCATTTTAGTTTTATGACATGGTCCAGTTGACTATTTTAGACCCCTTTCGAGAGATGTCATATTCCTGAAAGCAGCCGGCTATTATTCCTGTGCTTGTAAAAGTTTATAGTCCAACAAATCTTTAATCACAGAGACAAGCAGTTCACCTCGTAAAAACCAAGCGTGCCCTCCTGTGTATAAAAGGAGCCGTTTTATATCAACATCCATAACAAGCAGAAATAATATCACACATCCTCAATATTCATAAACATCTTGATTTAAAGAATCACCACGACCGTGACATGCTCCCTTGTGGACCGGGTGATGGTCCGACAAAAGATATCAGCTAATGAAGACGTATGATTCACATGGGTAGTGCTGGGCTCTCTGCAGTAAACGCCTCCTGCTGTGAGGAAAATGACTCGCTCGTGTTTGTGAAGCCACATAAACACCTCTTTGAAAAACACAGCCGTATCCAATTATCTATCATCCCTTTATCTTCCAAGTGAGGAAATGGCTACCTCTGCGGAGAAGACTGAATTGCTCTGTAGTTGCCTGGTTGCTCTTCAGCTTCCCCCCTCCCCCTCTTTGCTTGGTATTTTGTGATTGAAGACTTCTTTGTCAGACAACTGAAGATACATTGAACACAGAGGCATATTGCTCAGAAAACTCATGCTTTTCATCTTGTTCTTTCACGAGTACAAATTGCTGTGATCATTTCTGTTAGCGGTTGGATACATCCAAGCTCTTACAACGACAACAATATGAAAAATATCCTTTGTCTGAAGTTATAAAATCAGTTGTTTGTGAAAAATGCATTCCGTTTTTGAGGCCACTTTTAGAGAATAGGACCGCAGAGTCGATTTATGGATGTCCCGATCAAAGTGTCCTTAAAGAGTCCTTTAAGATTTGCCATCTCAGATACAGAGTTTTACAAATACACATTGGACAGATAATTATAAATGTTGAATAAACGTTTATTTATCTGATATGTCCAAATACTGAAGGGTTTACATACTTTATTTATTGAAATAGTATAGATCAGGGCTTTTCAAACTCCGGACCGAACTGCAAAACAAACCGGACCGAACCCTGTGTCCCATTATAAAAAATAAATACATTTAAAAAAAGAAGAATTTCTGATTCTGATGTAAATTAAAGTGGACCTATCATGCTATATTGGAAAAATATATTGTAGGGCCATACCTATACAAAACATGTCTGTGAAGTTTTTTGCTTAAAATACCAAACAGTTCACCCATTGTAGCCATGCCTCATACTGCTCATACCCATCTTTTGCAGCCCTGTTAGAGAAACACGGATTTTGGGTCCTTAGCTTGAAAAAAATAAAAGAGGAGGCGGAGCTAATGCCTGATCAGAATTATACCGGAGATAAAGTTAAATTCTGCTGTGATAAAACGCCATCCTGTTCTAAACCACATCAAAGATTATTTCTGAAACAGTATGGAGCTCAAATGCTTTTTCTCTTGCGGGTTTATCACAAGGAGAGTTCCTTTTTTTATTTCCTGCTTTTTAAAAAACACATGTGCTCTACAGTACAGGTTAGCTCTGAGTGTTAGCGAGGCTTGCTAATGTAAACAAAGACGAGATTACGTCCAAAACACGTCATGATAGCAACTTTCTGTGGGTCCGCTGCCGATTTGACGTTAGACCGGCAGCAAATCTG